TTTAATAAAATTTTTTTCTTAAAAACTAGGAGGGGGCAAGCAAGGGAAAGAAGCTTCCTGAGAGCCAGAAAAAAAAGAGCCTTAACAACATCAAAAACGATTGAGCTATGGAAGAAGTCTTGATGTTTCAATAGAATTTTTTTTAAAAAACTAGGAGGGGGCAAGCAAAGGCAAACAAACTTTCTGGGGGCCAGAAAAAAAGAAAGATCCCAAACAAAGTCAAATAACGATTGAACAGCTACGGAAGAAATCTTGATGTTTCAATAGAATTTTTTTCAAAAAACTGGGAGCTGGCAAGCAAGGGCAAAAAAACTTTTAGGGGGCCATTCCATTTCTGGGGCCCAGGAAAAAAAGAAAGATCCCTTATAAAGTCAAAAAACGATTGAACGGCAATGGAAGAAGTTTGATATTTTAATAGAAAAATTTTTTAAGAAACTGGGAAGGGGCAAGCAAGGGCAAAGAAACTTTCTGAAGGCCTTGTTTTTTCAGGGAGCCAGAAAAAAAAGAAAGCTCCCTAAAAAAATCAAAAAACGATTGAACAGCTATAGAAGAAATATTAATGTTTTAATAGAATTTTTTTTAAAAAACTGGGAGGGGGAAAGCTGGGGCAAAGAAGTTTTCTGCGGGTCATTCCATTTCTGGGAGCCAGAAAAAAAGAAAGATCCATTAGAAAGTCAAAAAACAATTGAACAGCTATGAAAGGAATCTTGATTTTTTTATAGAATTTTTTTTTTAAAACTGGGAGGGGGCAAGCAAGGCAAACAAACTTTCTGCGGGTCAGACAAAAAAAGAAATATCCCTAACAAAATCCAAAAATGATTGAATAGCTATGGAAGGAATTTTGATGTTTAAATAGAATTTTTTTAAAAACTAGGGGGGACAAGCAAGGGTAAAGAAGCTTTCTGGGGGCCATTCCATTTCTGGGGGCCAGAAAAAAGGAAGGTCCCTAACAACGTCAAAAACGTTTGAACAGCTTTGGAAGAAATCTTGATGTTTTAATAGAAAATTTTTTTTAAAAACTTGGAGGGGGCAAGCAAGGGCAAAAAGGCTATCTGGGGGCCATTTCATTTCTGAGGGCCAGAAAAAAAGAGGCTTATCAAAGTCAAAAAACGATTGAACAGCTATGGAAGAAATCTTGATGTTTTAATAGAAATTTTTTTTAAAAAACTGGGAGGGGGCAAGCAAGGACAAACAAACTTACTGGGGGCCATTCCATTTCTGGGGGCCAGAAAAAAGAAAGATCCCAAACAAAGTCAAATAACGATTGAAAAGCTATGGAAGAAATCCTTATCTTTGAAAAGAAATTTTTTTAAAAAATTAGGAGAGGGCAAGCGAGAGGAAACAAACTTTCTGGGGGCTAGATAAAAAAGAAATATCCCTAACAAAGTCCGAAAACGATTGAATAGCTATGAAAGGAATCTTGATGTTTAGATAGAATGTTTTTTTAAAAACTAGGAGGGGGCAAGCAAGGGCAAACAAACTTACTGGGGGCCATTCCATTTCTTGGAGCCAGAAAAAAAAGAGCCTCAACAAAGTCAAAAAACGATTGAACAGCTATGGAAGAAATCTTAATGTTTTAATAAAAAAATTTTTTAAAAACTGGGAGGGGGCAAGCAAGGGAAAGAAGCTTTCTGGGGGCCAGAAAAAAAGAAACAGCGCTAACAAAGTAAAAAAACAATTGAACAGCTATGGAAGAAATTTTGATGTTTTAATAGAATTTTTTTTTAAAAAAAATAGGAGGGGTTGAGCAAGGGCAAAAAAAGTTTCTGGGGGCCATTCCTTTCTGGGGGCCAGAAAAAAGGAAGATTCCTAGCAAAGTCGAAAAAACGGTTGAACAGCTATGAAAGAAATCTTGAAGTTTTAAAAGAAATTATTTTAAAAAACTGTGAGGGGGAAAGCAGGGGAAAACAAACTTTCTGGGGGCCATTTTATTTCTGGGGGCCAGAAAAAGAAGAAAGATCTCTAACAAAGTCGAAAAAACGATTGAACAGCTATGGAAGAAATCTTGATGTTTTAATAGAAATTTTTTAAAAAACTTGGAGGGGGCAAGCAAGGGCAAAGAAACTTTCTGGGGACCATTCCATTTCTGGGGGCCAAAGAAAAAAGTAAGATCCCAAACAAAGTCAAAAAACGATTGAAAAGCTATGGCAAAAATCTTGATGTTTCAAAAGAATTTTTTTTCAAAAAAACTGGGAGGGGGCAAGCAATAGCCTGCGCGCAGCCTCAGACACTTCTATCCCGAAGAGTAGAGTCTGCGAATTAAAGTCAAAAGGCTTGTTCCCTGAGTCAGCAAAATCATGACCTCGTTTCCAAAAAAATTAACCGCATGGATCGCGCGCAGTTAAAATTATTCTTCAATTTCACGAGGCATTCAAACAGTATCCAATGATGTATCCTATCAAACAGCATTCAAACAGTAATCAATGATGTCTTGCATTCTTTGCTTTAAAACACTATCCAAAACGGATAATTGTCGTGATTTTAATTTGGTGGTTGGCCCTAAGAGTAAGTTCAATGTTGCAAACGCGTTGCAGGAGCTTGATGTTGTTGTCGAATTTAGGCCGGAATCGCGGTACATTTGTCGTGAGTGTCTCAGGTTGCTGCAAAAGTTAGATTCTGCACGGAAAAAGGTAAACGTTCTAGCGGATCAAGCAGCAAAACATTATATCGATGGTGCTAATCGCTGCGGCTTTCCTGTCAAATCTAGAATGACAAAAAGAGCCTTGTTTTCTAACAGCAAGATTCAAAAACCTAGTCTCACGGCAGTGGCGACATTACAAGCAGAAAGTCCTGATGGTACAATTGCGGGGCCTGTCTCTGTGAACCAAGACATCTGTACAAGTCCATCTATAACAGTCACCAGCACTCCTGTCGGAGCAAAGCGTCCAGCCTTGGAAGGTCTTGCACAGCATTTTGAGTCAAAGTCACTCTTGCCGGTTGTTGTGGCGTCGACAACTGATTGTAAAATACTTCCACCAGGCAAGGAAGATGTAACCACTGTGTCAGTCAAAGTTTGCTGGAAGTCAAAAACAAGAGAGAAGAATCTGCCAAAAGATCTGATCTCAGTGGGTGCGATGCTTTGTCGTGGCACTTACAAGCAGCTGGCATATGCTGTTTGGAAGCATCCTAGCTTACGTGCTCACATCATTGAAGCCTTTTGCAAAGAAGTGGACAAAGAGTGTGTGCAGTACTGTCTCCCTACCAAAGAAAAGCCTGGAGATTCGATCCGTTCTGCGAAAATCTTGAGAAATAGTCCTTCTAAGCTGAAGAGAGCCGATGGAATCTACACAGCAAGAAACTGCTTGCGTCTCACTGGCAAAGACGACATGCTTGGTTTCACGTTTGACAAACTAGATAAAGAACTGAAGCAACAAATGCCTTTATCTAGGTCTGTCCTGATGACCATGTGTTGGCGGAGCTCAAAAAGAAAGGAGGATGACTTGTTTCTCACCCCAGCCGTAGGCATGGCAGCAGCAGTATGTCTCAAAAATAGATCCAAGCGGATGACTGCAGTCCAATTGATCATTTCCACGATGATGCAACATTCTGGCTTTATGGTGAGTAATTCGTTTTTTTAACTCAAGGGAGAAAGTATAACAAATCTATAGACAGTAAAATTAAAGCTGTTGCCTATATATGTATATATATTTATTGTCAGTTGCTCTGAAGATGGAAACAAAAGTGCAAAAATGATCTATCTAGTTGGTCACAGTTAGCAAACAAAATTTTTGTCCGAAACAATTTTAGATAAAAAGAAAAGTTAAAAATTTTGAAGAATATTCACCTTGCACTTAAATAGTAAAATTTCGAAACAATTAACCTTTCCCACATGTTACACTGTCATCTCCTTATCTTTAAATTACATCTGTTATCCATTATATCCAATTGTTTAATTTTTTTAATGCTAACTACTCAGTATAATATTGTTTTGTGTTGCTGGTCATATATGTGCTGTAGGTCACTGGGTTGTTTTATTACTGATGTTTATAGTTGTTTTATTGTTCCCATTACTTGATTGTTACTTGCATACAATTATAATACACTTTTTTCTGAATAGGCAACTTTGTTGCGGCTGAGTGCACTAAGGCTGGCTGTTTCTCACACATTCTTATACAATAAATTGAATGAGTATGGGAGGGATCATTTGCGAGACATTGTAGAGAAGATTTCAAATGAGGGGGAAATGGTGAAAAATCCAATAAGCAGTTCCTACTCTGGACGTAAACTGATCATTGACAATTTCAACTTCAGCTCTGAACCTCACCAAATGACAGCTGAGAATCAAAAGAAAGTTGTGAATTGGGTAGGGCTCATGATTACAGAGAACCGGATTTTGGGAGATGGCTTGCACTCACAAAAGCCTTCAATAAAAAATCTGGCCAAGTTAGAGAATGGTCTTTGTATACCAAGCAGTATGGAGCACAACCAGCAACGCTTGAATTACATAGCACTTTGTGGTCGTTTGGCTGTGGAGAATATAAAATGTTTAAAACAATTGGAAAAGGTTGCAAATAACCACATAGTGCATCAATATTCCTCAAAAATGGCCAGTAAAATTATTTTTTGTGAATCATTTTATTTTCACTTCAGTTGGTTAAATCATAAGTGATGTACAGAGGTGCACCACCACAGCTGGTAGATATTTAAGATTTAAAAAATTAAAGTACATAGATATATTTTTTGAGCTTATATTCAATATTTTAATACAAATTTATTGAGGGAGCTCATTATATATTTATTTATATTTATATGATTCAGTAGTTTTATAGTATCATTACAGCTTTTCAACAAATTGTTTTAATCATTGTAAGAAAGTTTTTTGCTATTTATCTAGAAACCATCAAGATTTATTTTTGCTTAAATGATAAAATCGAGTTCTGTTGAGAAATTTTTAACTACAGTCTTTTCTAATAATGTGCAGTGTTGTGTTTTAGATGTAACTTGATGTAATAAAATGCAAACAACACATTCCCTCTCTTTGTTCCAAGGTGTTTGCTGAGATGATTTATGAAGATCAAAATGATACCAGTGGAATGCAGAAGGTCATGACTAAGCTGCATGACTATGCTCCATGCAATGACAGTACAAATCCAACAGAGTTTGTAGAGCAAGGTGTTGTTGGGGACCAGCTTACTGTTGAACGTGGTGTAAGTTGCCTTTTGCAGCTTGCAAATGGTTTCACACAAAAGGAAAGGCTTGATGGGTTGCACCTTGAAGTTGCTGACTTCCATGCTGGGATGAAATTTTTACAGGTATGTATTGATCATACAGCCCTAATTCTAGAGGAATGAATTATTTTTGGGAGACCAATTACTCAGGATATTCTATTTATGCAGATAATGCAGATTAAATTTAAAGCCAATCTTCAAGTATTAATGCCGAAAGTTAGGAGATTGTATTTCATTTGTCTTTTGCACTTCATTTTTATCAAGAGCACATTTTCATCTCATATGATATGTTGATTTCAGGAATCAACTTCTGAGACTTTTAATAAACATATGTTTGAAAATGTGTTGAAAATCTCTACTGTTTGGGGTATCTTTATGCTCATGAATTGTTTTTCCAGGTTGCATTTGACCATCTATATTCTCCAAAGTCAAGCTCAGACAAATGTACCATGTTTGCAGACAAAGTGTTTATCAACAGACGCAATGTCAGAAGTGATGTAAGCCAGAAGGTAGAAGGTTGCAAACAGTTCTTCATTTTGGAAGTCACTGCACGTGTTCTTGCTGCTTATTGCGAGATACTTGGAATCAAGGATGTTGATGATGAACCTGATCAAAATACAGTTCTTGATAATGTATCAATGATGAGCATCAAAGAAAAGAAAGAGTTGTTAGACAGCCTGTCAGCCAAAGTTGTAGATAATTTCATCATCAGGAAGGAGCGCAATGCAGGCATTGTTAATCGACAAATATATGAAGACTGGTTACTGGCAACAAATGTGAAAGATGATGATGGAATGTATCTATGCAGAAAACATGGCTGTTTACAAACCTTCAAATTTGACGGGAAAAGAAGAATTGAACACGAAAAGATGCATGGACTCCACAAAAAAGCTCCTAATACATCTGCTATTGTTAAGGATGACATGTTCAATTATCAATGTGCCTTGCTCGATATTGGCATGGTGCTCATGAATTTTTTTGATGCTGTCTCCGAGGGTGATGGACTAAGAGTTGTTCGATGTTGGAAGTTCATGCTACTTTATATGAAACAAGATGGTGCCCGCAGCAGGAAATATGCACTTGAGGGTCTCTACTTGTTGTTCCAGGTTTATGCTATCCTATCGGAAAGAGATGCCCATTCTTTGATTTGGAACAGGTTCAGCAAGAGTAGACATGGTCGTGGAGGAAACATACCCCTGGATCTAGCTATGGAGCACTACAACAACTTGTTGAAGAGTGTTATAAGGAACCTTGGGCCAAATGCAACAAACACAAGGGCTGTTGACAGATTCTGCAAGGCACTCACAGTGAACAAGAAGATGTTGGAGAACTTTGACTCCAGCTGCAATGTTCTACGAAGATCTGGAAAGCACATCAAAGCTAACATTTCAGGAGACTTGAAGAAAATAGTTGGGGAATTGATAAAGAATTCTGCACTTCAGGTCATTCCTGGAAGAAAGTATAGCTCATATGCAGGTGTGAAGCCAAGCTTACTAGAAGATTTTGACATCCATGCAATGTACAAGTGGATACAGGATCACAAAAGTCTTGCAAAATTGAACAAAGCTGGTCGCTGAGTTATGTTCTTTCAATATTTTCCATTTTGAAGTCACTTTCCAAATGACAATGAAACTGGACTGCAAAGTATGTTTGTTCTTGCTAAGAAGGAATTTTCCCTTGCTGATATTAAGGAAAATTTTGTTCAAGGGCTGTTTTGTTGAAAACAGGGGTCCAGGGATTTTTGCAGCTGTGTAGCTATCTCTTTCACTTTTCTCAGTTCTCTATCTCTGTGTTCTGTTGTAATTTCTTATGGTGTTGTTTGGTGTTTGTCTTTGCTTATCAAATTTACTGTAAAACTGTGAAAGTAAAAGTGTCACAAAAAGTGAAAGTAAAGTTACTGTAAAAGTTTCATCCATGGTGGGGAGCAGATGACCTTGAGCCTTCCCCACATTTACTTTTATTAAAAATTAGGTTTTGATGTTATAGAAAAACTGTGTTGACTAAAACAGCTTTGGCTACAGGTTGATGTATAAAATTAACTTCGCAAATATAAATCTAAATATTTAACTATAGATAAGAAACATGAAGGCATTTGGAAATGGGAGGAGTGTATATGGTGCCATTGTAGAGAAGGCTATCAAAAAGTTGTCTTGATAAAAAAGGATATCAAAAGTTTTATAGCACAATTTTGTTAATGAGGGAGCAAAAGATCACATTTATTTGAAAGGATTGCAAGTATTGGTATTTGCTTGACATATAGGCCTTTCATTTTCTGTCCTTATTCAAATAACTTTTGTTTTGAAGGTATAATATAAGTTATCAGTTGAGTCCATGTTCATGGAAGATAAATGTATTGATTTGCAGTTACTTAATGCTTGGAATATATGTTGAAGCAGGACTACACCTCTGCTTCTTTCTGCACATCTGATTTTGTGAATAGTAATTGGAATTATGTCTCATAACTATTTTTTGTTTTCTGGTTCACAAATTTCTAGAGGGGAATTCAAGTTTTGCATGAAACTGGGGATGGGGGTGGCTGTGTGGGTGGCTGAAATTGTTAACAAAAAGAAGATCTGAATTAGTACAATAGGACATGAGATATCCCTTTTTTGCAAGTTTTAAGTTTGTAAAAGCATTTCAAATATTTTAAGACAGATTTTCAGAGCCCAGGAAAATTGGAAACATTCCACTGAAAAACTTTTGCTGATGGCAAACCATTCTCACTTAACAATAGAACATGGATTTGACTTGTATGTATCCCTAGAGCTGTCTATTTTTAGCCCTCCTCCATTCAGTGACTGTATGATTCCAATGTTTTCCTGACTTTGATTTTATGTAGTTCACATAGAAGTTGTGTTAGAATTAAGCTAATTGATGTGTGTGAGACATTGCACATTGTATGTTTTCTTGTATTTTATTTAAAGTCCTGCAGTCTAAACAAAACAAATATTTGCAGGATTTTTATATTGCCTTATGCACATGCAAGGAAAATCACAACATCCGGCATATTACTCTTGGCAGGGTCAGGCATGTTACCCATGAATGTCCTAGTACTCATTCCCAAACTCCCAAGTCTGCAACTAATATTGCAATATAAGGAACAAAAGGAATTGAAAAAATAATAATTACACGACCTGTGATAAAATTTTCACTAAATACAGTATCTTTTTTTCAAATACATTTCTAAACTTTGAATGTTCACTTCTATCTTCAACTTAGCATTAGTTCCATAGGTATCAATATGTGATAAAGATTAAACAAATACTAGAAGTTTGTCAACCTTTAATACATGGAGCAACTGAAACTTGATCTGAAACATAACAATTATGTGCTCTCAAATAGTAAAGAGAACAATTTAACATATCTGAGTTGTGCTGTTTCAACTTCTTAGAAATTGTTGTTTCCAAATGACCATAGTTGCAAGGCATGAAAAGGTTAACATTCTTACAAAGGTTTCTGTACAACATCAAGCAGCACACTAAAAGAAGGTGTGTGTGTCAGCATTTACATATCTACAAAGACATTTATACAGCTTATACATAGGGCTTCATAATTATTTGATGTCCCTGACAAAATCAATTATGTCACTTGACTTGTAGGGTTTGAAACTTACCCTGTTTGCAGCTGAAACTTAATGATAAATCATTAGCTTCAGATAGAATCCTACCTCATTAGAAATGATCTCAAAATTGACACTCCCCTGGTTTTAGTCTAATGAACCTGACTTGCATAAGGATTAAATGAAAGAGAGCATGGGTGTTAGACTGATTCCTTCCAATGGATGAGTGTCACTATAAGATTTCTCATTGTTTTTTTTGGTCATTGGAAATTTTTTGGATATTTTCTAGTTTTTTTTAGACGTCACTTATACCTCCATTGGCTCATCATTTTCATCATGAATGAAAGGTTTCACCCCATGGTAATCAATGATAGATCCCAATGAATGATCTTGAGTCCCAGACTGGTCAATTGATTCAATGGCTCTGTCAATTTCACCAAGATCCACATCACCAAATGACATAATATCAGATTCATCCCTTATGTCAAGCCAGTGGTCTTCAATTTCATCTTCAAGATGATCAAATAATGTTGCATCAGGGTTCAAATCATCAGGGACTTCCATATCACCAAACGTTTCATTCAATAACTGGAAAATCAGGGATGCATGTTTCATTCGCCATATTTCTATTTTTGATAGGACATCATCGAGATTGAACAGGTGATGGCAACACTGCATAATCTGATTGATATGGAAATCTGTAAACTCCATCATGACCTTTGGTGTAGATTTTTCTTGATATGTGGTGAACTCTTGTTTGAACACATCTTTTAATGATAGAAGCCTCATCAGCAGATCATCTTTTTGCTGCTGTGTTACTAATCTCACTCTTGTTGGGACTGGTACAACCTCCTTTTTTGAGAAATGAAGGATTTGTGCAGAGCATGGATTGGTACAAGAACATTTCAAGAGACAAACATCACAGCACAAACAACCAAGAGTAGTAGCTATGGGATGACTGCCAGGGAAAATGCTCTCAATATTCTTTCGCCTACATTTATCACTTGTGACATATTCCTTCATGTCAGACTGACAATGACTTGTTAGAAATCCATTGTACAGTAGATAACAGAAGCTAATCTGTCCATCACGTCCAGCTCTGCCGCATTCTTGAATATATGCCTCAATGCTTTTTGCGGGACCAAAGTGTACAACCCTGTGCACTTGCTTGCAATCGATACCCATTCCAAAGGCTGTTGTCACAACTAAAATTCGAAGATAACTTTTTTCAGCACCAACCTCTTTCAGCACATGCTCCTTAACAGAAGATGGAGTACCAGCATGAAACATTTCCACCAACCTGCTTCGAAGATTGGAACTGCTATCAGCATACAACATTTCCCCAAGTTTCAGCTGGAATGTCCTCCAAATAAGAGCACACTGGTTTCTTGTTTGACAGAAGATTATAGTCCTTATTGTTTCAACACCCTTTTCTGCCAATTCATCCAGCAACTCTGAAAATAGGACCTCAAACTTGGTGTCATTGCTAACATACTTGCTGAAGAACAACAAGTTATTCTTCATTGGACTCTTTTCAATGACATGCATTGATGAACTTTCCAAGTTTAAAACTGAATAGATAGCAGCTTTTGTTGCTCTTGAAGCAGTAGCAGTGAAAACAGCTAGCTTCACTGATTGATCAAGAAATGATCTGATTTCGCCAAGCTGACCATACCACTTTCTGAAGGGAGCTTGTTGGCCAACATTAAGACCCCTAAGAACAAATTAAATTGATTTAAAAATGATGAAGTGTAGTAATCCAGACATATACTAAATTTGATAAACTATTGGCTTTGATTTTCAATAAAATTTTTGTGTTCATGTTAGCCACAGATTTTACCCAATATTTTATTACAGATAACATTCCAAGGACAACTGCCACCCATGTCTTGAAACTAGTTGTGTTACAAGCATGATAAAAAGATGTTGTTAAACAAAATATCTTGCTAATGAAAACTCACGCTTGGTGATAGACCCTTTTGAAAACAAAATATTGTCCTTGTTTTTTTCAAAGGCAAGTTCTTGCAGGAATTACATTGGGGGTCTGAAATAGAGAAGCCCTATATTTTGGAAATGGAAGCCCAGATGGAGATTTAAATATGAGCAAAATTGTACACCTCAGATGGAGGTAAAATATTGCATTTTCTGCAGTGTGTTGTGTTGCTTTCATATGGACTGCCTTTGCCCCATATGTACCAGAGATGCACTTTTATAACTCTAAAAAATACAGTTTGACACATACCATTGTGCTATACAATGGGCTTCATCAAATGCAACGCAGACACAATAATCCTTGAATGCAGTGGAGGACAGAAATCGTCGCCATCGACATGTTGCCAACATTGATTCGGGTGACGTGAATATTATATTATATACCCCTCCATTTTCAATTTCTAGCAGCACTTCCTCTGACTGATCAGCATATATGGCAGCCGTATTGATACCCAATGCTCTAAGCTTTGATACTTGGTCGAGCATTAAAGACTGTAGCGGAGTTACAACAAGAATGCAACTTGGTAAAGTGAGCTGGTCCATCAGATAATCATTGACGAATGGTATGACTCGATAAATCAGGGACTTCCCATAACCAGTTGGTGCGCTGAAATACAAATGTTTTCCTCGGAAAAAATGTCGTAAAGCCTCCAGCTGCTCTTCGTGCATCGAACTTATCCCAAACATTGTCCTCGCAAACCCTAACCCTTCCTCGAATTTTTCTTTGTTCCAAACAGCAATATCTCTCACAGTAACACTTTTCACGGTCGCCATTTCGAAATCAAGCAAAAACGTGACTTTATAAAAACGCCGCGCGGATTAGAGCGGTTCGATAAGACAATAGGGTAGTCGCGTTATCCAATGGAATCATCTCCCAAAAAATTGGGAGATAGATTTGATTGGTCCTTAAACAATAAAATAACAATAGGGCTGCTTGACGTTTCGATTGCAAACGAGGCGGGAACAAGCCTTTTGACTTTAATTCGCAGACTCTACTCTTCGGGATAGAAGTGTCTGAGGCTGCGCGCAGGCTATGGAGAAGGAGATTGTGAACAAGTCTGGGTTGCTAAGCAAAATGGAAACTGGAGACCTTAAACTAGCAGAAAAAGGATTTTTGATACACGAAATGGTACCTTCAAGAGTTTCTGTTAAAGGGCCACTCCAGCCCAAAATTTTTATTTCAGAACACGATGTAATCAGACCTCCTGAAAACGAATCTGTTATTATTTTTTTCATATCTCTAACCGTTTTGTAGTTATTAGCGTTTGTAAAATGGTCATTGAGTTGAATTGTTTTTCAACCGTGATATCGGAGATCTTCGGATTGACGTCACAGGCATTTTGGGCCTCGGTAAGTTCGCGGCAAGTATCATCGGCTGTCCAAAGGGTCAACGAGAACCTAGCGAAATGGCAGACAGGGTCTAGCAGCGGCATGTTTGTTAGAAGGCCAGACTTTTATCTGGTATCGATATAAAGAGAGAAGTATCATCCATTAGTCTCGATATTCTGATCGAATATGGAAGTTTTTTATCGCACGAATCTTTCTGACAGAGAAGTCAAATTGTCAAAGTAGGCCAGCGAGATGAGGATGTTGACATACTTTCATGGAATGTTGCTTTTGAAGCAATTTGTATTGGCAGGCCAGCTCCCTGATTTTAAAAAGAAGATTCGCGCTTTTTCATCAGCTCTTCCTTTAGTTCAACTGCTAAAAAACCATCACGCAATTAATTCGGGAGGAAAGACCCAAACAAAACCAGTATACCGGGAATGAAAGCTGTATGAATTGATACAAAATATTCATTAGGATAAAGAGCTTCATATCAACATGACTATGACTTATTAGAAATAAACCAGGACAATCGAGGGCATGGACAAGAAAGTATACAAACTTTCAAGACAAGACTAAAAACCTACCATTAGTCATGAGTCAAACCTTTATTTTCAAAAATTTGTTCTTATACAAAAAAAAAGGGATTTGAGATTATTTTAATAATTAAACTTTTTCAATATACTTGTGTAAATATAATTTTTGTATTTAACCTTTAAGCTATTACAGGGGCCTTGTCAGCTCCTTTAAGCTGTCAGAATTTCAACCTGCTATATTTATAAATAGATAAATACATGTTTGTATTTAAATACTTGGCTACATTTAATTATATATTTAAATATCTATACAATCAGGCCAGTGAACTAGCTAACAATTTGTAATTTCTATTGCACATGAGAAATGTTCTTATAAAAGTATCATGAAACAATAATATATTGCAAAATTTCTAGAAAATACCTTTATGTTGTTACTAGTTTGAAATAATAGCTGTGGATTTGCAAACTTTATATAGAAATGACCAAATTATATATAAAATTTTGATAATTTTAAAAATAGTCTCCTTTGTAAAAGTTTTGATACAAAAACAGAACAATGTGTCAAGGTCTTTGTGGTAACTCTTGTAGGGAAAAGAGGGGCAAGTCATTACTCCAACAAAGCCAGTAGCCAGATAACAGGATGCATGTAATCTCCAACCTTCATCTAGCATTTTTGTGCAAGATCCTTTCTGATGATCCATAAAAGAGTTTGTTACCTTTTTTATGCCTAGAATGATAACGTTGACAGAGATAAATACTAACATACCAGTGAAATTTACTTTAGAGTCATATTAAAACATAAAATGGTCAAAGAAATCACTACCTTGGACACTCAGGGGCATTCAGAGTATAGATATCTAAAAGGATCAAAGAGAAATTTAGGGGTGAAAGGGCAACCACTGTTACTATAGCAAATAGCATCTAAGGATATTAATTTGAAGTAACACAAAGATGAATTTAAATGATATAGGCCATGCTTACATGAATCAATGCTAGAATAGCAAAGGTAAATTTAACAAATATAAACAATTCTGCCTTAACATTAGAATGAGGATATGACACATCTTTTTTCCAAAACCAAGGGTGTAAATTCCATGTTTTCTCTTTGGGGTAGTAGACCTTTTGCCCTGGATATTGATCTGGCAAAATTTTGAAATTGTGCATCAATTTTATGATGAAATAGGCAGAACTCCAAAATTGAAGGCAGAAATTGGTAGAACATGAAGAAAAAGGGTTCAGGAGACGAACCCTGGAAAATGTTACACATCTTTACCTCGGGCAAAGGTGTAGTGCACAGATCATTGGCAGGGATGTAGTGCTAGGAGGCTCAGGCCCCCTTGTTGGTACAAAAAAGTAGCAAACTTCTACTTTTGGTACTATTTTATGTGACATTTGCTTGAGAGCCCCTGTTGTACTTTTCATATTACCAGATTTCTGACCATTTGGGGGACAGTTCACAAGACTGGCTGTTAGAAAACTTATATTTAGAGGACGAAGTTTTTCTCAAAGCACGGCAAATTGCGTTGCTTAGGGGGCTTCCCCGAACCCCTCCCAAACCTCTACACCCTGCAGTTTCGCCAAACATTCAACATAGTAAAATGATAATAAGGATGAATTGTGACTTACGGGAAAGTTTCCATCTTGTGTGAATAGGGTTCTTCTTCTAATGCGGTGAGACATAATTATCATTCAGCTCCCTGGAAATCCCTGAGATTACACGACGATAAGAAATGCCTTCGGTCAGAAATCCATTCACATCTGAAAATTCGTGAAGCATTCCATTTTGAAAAGCTTGCTGCGTTGCCAAGATGAGGATTTGCATTCAGGTTGAAGTTTCCATCTTTGATTTGTCGAATTACTAGTCCATGTTGGTTGGAAGCCTCTGCTGAACATCAATCGCAATGAAGGAAAATAAATAAAACGACAACCGAGATTCCGACATGAATCGCCTCTTCCGAGCCTCTACCGAGTCGTGCGAATTTCAGTGCGAACGTATAACAATAGCGCCGAATGTTGAAACAATAGCCCTTTCACACGTCACAAAGTGCTTTTTCCAAAAAAAATTTTGTCGTATTTTCACAGTGATTCTTAACTTTGAGCGTCTATATCTGGAAAATGAGTTAAGCTTTTCGAAAAAAAATTTCACGATAACTTCTTTTTCTCGACTAACTACCAATTTATGCAAAAATCTCAGAAAAAATTTTTGGGCTGGAGTGGCCCTTTAACATTCCACCTTTTTTGCAACTTGGAAAATTTACAGAAAGTGAAGGTGCAGCAACAAAAAACATTGCAAGGTGCAGAATTCATGTCGAGCATGTAAATGCAAGGCTAAAAGTTTTTAAAGTACTTGGATTTGTGCCACCCTATTTACAAAGCCATATCGACACAATCTTTGAGCTTTGTGCAGCATTGGTTAACCTGCAGTTTCCTTTAATCAAAGAATGCTGTGAAGCAACTGACCTTGATTGATTTTTTTTAAATTTATTGATATATTTGTAACATAGCAGTAGTAATGGTTGTAAGTTAAAGAAGCAAAATAGCAATGTGTATTTTAAAACAGTTAATCATTTATTATCTTTGGTAGGATGTTGCCAAAATAAAACCGAGAAGGATCCTTCTTTATTTGGTTATTACCAACCATGATAGTGTCCACACAACAAAATAGCAATTGTTTCTACTTGTGAGATACATTTGTCCTTGTACCTGATGCCAATATGCATGACCTTTCTTCAAAAGAGACAAGGATCCTTCCTTTTGTAGACATAATGTCTTGCTTTTTAGTACCTCTTCAAGTGACTGATCTTTTTTCTGTATAGGGGCACTTAACTTTTTGTGCATAGAGGCACAAAACATGATCCAAAAGTACTAAACCATCAGGCGAAGCACCCAAAACCCAAGAATAGTCAAGCCATATTCCTGTGCTCACAATCTCTAGCTTAGTTCTTTTAGAGAATGCACTCAGCTTCATTGGTCAAGCACCATTTAAAAGATTTAACTCCAGACAGATCATACTCTTCAAGTATTTGTTTGATTGAGGAAGGTGTTATCCTCTTGGCATCCAGGACTAAGCCACACCTACTTGTCATTAGCCTTCCTTTTCTAACAAGACGCCATTGTGGATTTTCCCTCTCTCCAACAATAAGGTGACTACCTTTAAAAATCTCCTGTGAATTGACCAAAAGTTTGCTTTTTATAAAACCAAGCTTTTCAAGACATGAAAAATTTCTAGTCTTTTGCTTGAAAAGATAATTTCTTTGACCAATTTTACTTGAGCCTTCTCTTGCTTTTGAGGCTCAGGACTTAAAAACCACCACAATTACACAAATCTGCACAAAGTGCAAATTTATCTTCATCATCTGGCTCCCCTGTGAGTGGAACATATTCTGGACCTCTCGGTTGATAAAGTTCGGATACTGCATGTGTGGAAAAATTTTCATTCTTCTGCTTTTTCCATAAGCACTCCATATCCGTCACACTAATGCTGTTGATGGTATGAATAACAAGGGCAGCTGCATGGCTACACTTGAATTCACCTCTAGGGCATTCCCACTGTGTTGATTTTATTAAGTAGCTCTCATCAACATATACCTGAAAAATTATATGCATTCAAACAAGCGATTTTTTCAACAGATGGAATAATCATCATAATTACTTGTTGGAAAAAGTCAGAATGATATTAGTATTATAATTAGATTTTTTTAATAGATACCATGAATCTTAAATTTCTTTACTCCATCTTTAAAGAGTTTCATGCTGGAAAAGGGCAGACCCAACCCAAACCTGTGAATTTTAGCATTTTAATATGTTCACATGGTGGCTAATTGATATACAGCACACTCCAGTATAACATATTAATTAAATCCATAATCAACCAAAGGTAGGTATAAAATTAAAAACAAACAAAAATTAAGC